CATTGATCAATTTTTAGCTGTTTTAATGCGAAATCGTTTAGGTCTTTTTGTTCAAGATATTTCAGATATTTTTCTAAATATTATTATACATGGATTTGCCTTTTACACGAAGAATTACATTTTTTAAACCCATTTCCAAGTAGAGATATTGTCCAAAGAACAATGCCCAGTCAATTTCGCATTAAGTATCCCAATACACGTATTATCATTGATTGTACAGAAATTTTTATACAAAGACCTTCAAGTCTCACATCACAAACGTCGACTTTTTCAAATTATAAGCACCATAATACGATGAAATTTTTAGTCGGTATAACACCATCAGGTGTAATTTCTTTTGTTTCTGAAGGGTGGGGAGGACGTGTGTCAGATCGACAGATAACTGAAGAGTCTGGTCTTTTAGACATGTTAGATACAGGGGATTCTGTAATGGCAGACAAGGGTTTTACTATCACTGACCTATTAAGTAAGAAAGGATGTTCTTTGAACATACCACCTTTTAGAGGACAAAGTCATCAATTTTCAGTAGAGGATGTTCATCTGACTCAAGAAATTGCTCAACTGAGAATACATGTTGAGCGCAGCATTGGGCGGGTTAAAAACTTTCATATTTTTGATGGAGTTTTACCTTTGTCTATGTCACCCATTGCTAGTAAAGTGTTTCAAGTTTGTTGCTGGCTTACAAATTTTGATGTACCCCTTGTAGAAGACAATAAACTGTTTTTCTTTCATAGTTCATGCAAAAAATGATATATTTTATTTGCATTCATTTAGTGAAAATGCGAATATTTATATGAATACAAAGTAGAAGTGTTGGAAAATACCAGTTTGTCTTGTACATAATTCATAATAAGCTAAATTAGAACAGAATTACCAGGGAATTGAGTTACCGAAAGATCTTTTTTTGCTTATCCAGATTGTACATACGTGGACATTTATGATTGGTTAAAACTCGTAATTATATGCAATAAGAACAAAATGATATGATTAAGAATACATGATAATTCATTAGAAACACCAATTAATCAAATAGTTCGCTTAATTTGACACTAAAAAAATAAGCAAACCCATCTTTAAAGGAATATTACCTCTTAAAATGAATATAAATTTTAAATATTTCTCAAACTTGGCCTATAAGAGTATACATTCATCAGTGGACTTGCCTTGTGTCAAGACCAGTTGGTTGGATTTCAAAGACTTTATGAATGGCTTTCTTAATCTTCTTGTACTGCTCTCTGGCTTGACCTTCCTTGTCAATTCCCCACTGCACAGCTGCAGGCAGGTTTGTGTACCTAAATAGAAGATAAATGGTTATGAATGACTTGCCATTAAATATTCAATATTTAAATATTGGTTTCAATAGCATTATTAGTGTGTAAACGCAATTGACCACTTGATAAACAGAATTGTGTATATGGCAGATTCAGATTGGGGACATATATTCAGGGTATGTGTAAAGATATAGACTATGTTTTAGGTATAAACTCAATATGAATATGTTATGAAAACTTACTTTTCAAGATTTGACCCCTCAACTATCTGTTTTATCAAAGATGTTGGACTTGGACCTGAAGACATTACATCCCCAAACAATGAGCTGGTTACTCTACCAATGTGCATCTTAAACCACTCTTTAGAAAGCCTCTGACTTTGGGTATATTCTTCTATGTACTTTACAAGCTCCATGTCAATGTTGGATGGTGGTACTGTAATATAGAAATTTTCAAGACAAATAATGAAAACTGATTACTGTATGTATAAATAGAGATGTATAATTTTTATTTAATTCCTAAAACAACAACACAATTGAACCAATCCAACTACCAACAACTACCTAGTTTGCGATAACTTGTCATCTACCAATTAACCTGTTTCTTTAATTCAATTGCACAGGTACAAATGGGTGAATGAATGATGTATATTATTGGATGGAATTAGCCCATTTATTTACTTGAGGAAACATCCATTTATTTGTTCATTTATTCAAGTTTATAATTGGTAAAATGGAATTGTATATATGAATTAAATAACTGTTAACTATATGTTTTCCACTTCATAACATATATTATATTCTTATATTTATATAATGTGTGCACTTTATTTATATTATATTGTATTTTACTTACAGTTACCCTCTGTATAAAGCATCTTCATCATTTGTTGGTAAAGTGGATTAATGCTTGTCTCAACTTCTTCCTCCATACACATATCTGGCACTGGATCAGGAATATTCCACAAATGTGACATACCTTAAAAAATATAATTTGATTGAGTTACACATGTTTTAATACATTGTCTTATTTCCTAAATAAATGAAGTAAATTTTTATTAATATAATTCTGTAGGCCTACTGTTAAAAATTCAAATATACTTTGCACATATAAGTTCTTTAATGGAATAAAAAATTAATTCTTTTGCAGAATACAGGAGTGGCAAACATTAATTCTATTTTTGTTTGATTATTATCATTTACCTGTTCAGGGGAAAATCTCTTTTAGACCTTGTAGTGCAGTTAAGGTCTTTTCCATATCATTCTGTCTGTCCAAACTATGCCTTGGGTCAAAATTACTGTCTTCATTTCCCCGGTTGAAGGAAGGGGTTTGGCTTCTCCTCGAGGAACATTCCAGGTACAAAGGGTAGATGTACCTGTTACAGATTGTGGGATCTTTCAAAGCAAACAACAGAGCTCCGATATGGCTACAAGCTTGTGCTGCCCTACAAAAGAACACATAAGGTATGAAAAATGTTATTCTGGTACTAGTTTTGTGAAGCTTGAAGCTACATTTACAGTCATACTGCAGCACTGTTCTATCAGATTTTCAGGTACTCTAGCACATATTTTGATTTATAATGTTCATCTCATCATAAGTATTATGTAGTGTCTATGAAACTTACCCAATTGGACACTGACAATAAGCGTAGTCTATGGAATGTTGCTCTTCATTTTCCTTTGAGAAACAAATAAAAACTTGGTAGTTCATCTTCTTCATGGATGCCTGACACAGAGCTCTCACATACATTGTTGTATCATTGACCTGAAAAAAAAAATTCTTGTGTTGATTTTTCTCAACAAACCTTGGTAAGTTATGGACTTGTTTAATCTGAGATTAAATCAAATATCTAGTAGGCCTATTTTAAAAATGTAAAACACTGTAGGGGCTGTAAGGATGAGAGTAAGTTTCTGTTCCTTGTCTCTAATATTTGATAAAGTTATATTAGACTCAATGTGTAGATCTAGGTAATTATGAGACAATAATTGTGTGTGTGTGAGGTAAGGAGCTCTTTACTCTACACAAATATTAGGTGTCATGCAAAAAAGCTGTGTACCATATTAACAGAAGTAATTTACATAGCATTATGCTTTGAAGATCTAGATCTACTACCATAAACAATTGATGTCATATATTAGTTGGACGATTACGTACCTTTGCATGTGAAATGTTTTTCACGTCTCCTGCATCATGGTGTTTGACTGCCTTGTCAAGTCCTTTAAAATTATTAGCACTTCCACCTGACTCTGTTGCTCTCGTTATCAGGAAATCGTAAATCATCGTAAACAAAACTTTTACGTAAGGTAGTTGCGGCAGATATTTGACTCGATGAAAGGGAGGCAGGTTGTCTTTATCGTTGACGTTGGTGGCAGACTTGGTTGGCGTTGGATTGATGACGGGTGTTGACTGGTTATGTACGGGTGTCAAAACCGAAGTTGGAACCTGGCTGTTTAACAAATCTTCTATCAACTCCTGTTTCTTGTTACCATTGGCATCTATCCCTTTCTCGATTGCAAGAACTCTCAAATCAGTTAGTTTCAATTTTCTCAATTTATCGATGGACGCCATCTTGTATCGAATGTAAACAGACGGCTTGCCACTCAAGGGTATTTATGCGCATGCGCGGCTTTTATCGTGAAAAGGTCTATTAGGGACCGAGATATAGCACTGCAAAGACTCAAAATGGTCCATTTTTAGAGTGCTGCCTAAGGATTGTAGACGGACTTGAAACATATCGTTTGACACAAAAGTTATGCAAATCAGATGAAAAATGGCCTCTGAATAGCAATTTCTGCAAAATGAGGCAAACCAAAATGGCGGCCAACATGTTACTTCCGGTGCGGATTTTTTTAGTTTAATAAGTTTGTATTAAGACTGGTAATATAATGCATATGTTATTTTTGATATAACTCAATTCCACCGGAAGTGATACCACCGGAACATCCAAACCGGAAGTGATAAAAATTTCGGCAAAAAAAGTATGCAACGAATTTTCGAAAATCGAAAATTTTCAACTGCTATCATTTGTCCTTTGTTACAAGAAATATGATGCAGAAAACCAAATCAAAATCGGTTGATAAACACGCCCTCTAGAGTCCATTTTCCGTTTGTTGCAAAGTTGCGTAATGTTGCTCAGAAAGTTTTTGTTTTACATTTAAACAGTGATTAGCCACGAGTTACAAAACGCCATGAAGTCCGTTTTCCCGTACCTATTGCCGTTGCCGAGAAAACCGGCTTCCGAACGCCCTGCAATAAAAAAAGAGTCTGCATTAAATACCCTTTTTCTGACAAATTGACATGAAATATAAAAGATATTACAAACAAAACAAAACAATAAACTTTTCAAATGTAATATTAATTAGATTGTAACCCTTTCTATTAAACAAATGATGCCAATTTTTAATCAATCCGTAAATACATATGCATATTTGCATTTAAGAATGCAGAAAAGTATTTACATCAAAGTAACTGCAATAGACCATCTTCGTATGTACCTGAATGTCGTAACACGCCCTGCATCAGTACTGTTATTAGAACAGTTCTAGTTTTTTTTTTTCTTCATCCCGGGAGCTTAGTTCTCGGAAACGGCAACGGGTACGGCAAAACGGATTTCATCATGTTTTCTAACCTGTGGAGAATTGTGGAATGAATGTAAAACGAAAATTTTCTGAGCAACATGAAGCGACGTTTGCAACAAACAGAAAATCGCCTCTAGAGGGCATGTTTATCAACCGATTTTGATCGGGTTTCTTTCATCGTATTTCTTGTAACAAAGGGCGAAATGATAGCAGTTAAAAATTTTCGATTTTCGGTTGTTATTTGGCGGATTGACTTGAAACTTACATGGTGTAAGACCGCCAGCAAAGTGGAATAAAAGCACAGATTCAAAATCTTTCCATTACTTCCGGTTTCGATGTTAGTACTTCCGGTGGGGTCACTTCCGGTTGAATTGATTTATGTCAAAAGTAACATATGCATTATATTACCAGCCTTAATACAAACCTTTTAAACTAAAAAAAATCGTACCGGAAGTAACATGTTTGTCGCCATATTGGTTTGCCTCATTTTTGCCCAAATCGATTCCCAGAATTCATTTTTAATCCGATTTGCGTAATAACGTTTGTGTCAAACAATCGATAAACAATTCTATTCTTAATTTTTATAAATGACGTTTCATTTTTTAATCATATTTTCATAATTTTCATTCATTATATTAATACTGATATTAATTTCATAGAGCAATCGTTGAATGAAGATTTGAATAACATAGTTGATTGGTGTCAAAATAATGACATGGTTTTAAATTCAACTAGAGCTAAATCTATGTTGATTAGAGATCGCGCTGTTAAAACTGAATTTACAATCTATTGAAAATGACTCTAAGACGACAGTTGTTCTTGACATAAGTTTACTTTGGTACATATTATCTCTCTCTTCTATAAGGTCACCACCAACACTTTATTTGTTAGAAATAGACTAGAGGCAGAATTAAAATAGCTTTCATTTTACTATATTGGTCTATACCATAATTTTATCGTTTGCCTTAAAACTACTATCTTTGTATAAATTTATATAAATATGTTTCACTTCTGAAAGAATATTGCCTGTCTGCCTTTATTTTCATTTTACTTTATACCTTTAAAACTGTCTGTATATATCGTAGGCCTATATATGTTCCATTGACTCCCGAGAAGATTTGGTTAACAGATTGGTGATCAATAAAGTTATTATTATAATCTTTAGACTAAATACTAAAGAATTGCATTGAATTCGGCTATAGTTAAAGATTGCCCTATTTTCAGAGGATAAGTGCTATAGAGATAATGACGAAACCAATGAATAAAAATGAAAGTGTCAAATAACAGACTAATGTCTGAATTATTTGTAAACAAAGTTCTTAATCATCGGATGAGAAATGATGTGTTGTTTGATAAGTACCCCAAGTTCATGGATAATCTGATATAAAACAATGTCTCTGAGGGAATTCTTGTCTCAAAAGTTGATCACAATGATAGCTGTGTGTGGTATTTACTTCACAGTTGTGTGACACGGTCCAAAAGAAACGAGAGAAATACGTTTCGAGTATAACCACTCGTGAGATATAATGATATCTGATTTGACCCATTTATATTATCGGATGTTTTATTAAGAGTAAGCTCTGAAGATAGTTACAGAATTAGATATATATGATCCCCGGTAAATGATTTGAATTAGTAGAATATAGAATGTTAGTTCACCCCTTTTGTGCAGTCAGCTCTTTAAATTTTATTTTAAATTTTACACTTAAACAAACTGTAATAGACAATTCGAATATTTCCCTCCTCAAGTGTTTTTTGCAATTAACAGCAATCATGTCATATAAGTTGCAGTTGTTTTTCATTGGAATACGTCGATATTCTTAACCGTACTTATAAAATGGACATGTTTTGGGTCATAATTGAAAATTTCCGTTATCTTTTACACCGTTATCTTTAGTTTAAATGACGATTAAAAGTTGCATGGAAAAATTCGAAAACGGAAGGGTTCTAACAGATAAGTAAGCGTCAGGTGAAAATAGTTAATATGTAAGTAAGCTGTTTAAATTAATTATCACCTTTGACCTAATAAGACTTTTCAACTCCAAACCTTTCAGATATATTTGGCAAAGAATAGGACACTCATCGGTAGATTTGGGTTTATTGCTTCGTTTAACACCAGGTTGTCTTTTTAATTAGGCAGATTTATTGTGGTTTCAGGATAAAATGACATGTTTGTTACAGCAGAACTGCCAACAAATTGTTATCATTGAGTCATGAACATGTAAACATTTTTGGGATTCACTTGAGACCTATAGTACCTTCTAACAACTAACAAAAGTCTATCTTTTTCTTTATTTTAATTCCCAAATAAAATCATCTTTAGGTAGTTTTGCTTCATTGACTGTGATGTTTTTTTTTTATTATTATTAATGACTGTTTGCAAATGTTAAGATTAATAATGTGATGGTAAACATTTACAATACTTCTATCGAGTCTTAAGATCAAAATATTGATTATATATTATTTCGAAATGTGATGCTAGAAATTCAATTTAACCAACAATATCTTAAGATTGTTAGATTTATAAGGTACGGCGTCATGAACGAAGCTGTTTTATATGAAAAGAATTTCCCACTTATCAAAAATATAATATATGATTAAAAAATATAATTACCTAAATTTATGTGATCAATAATCGGTATCGACTTTGATATTATTTACAGCTTTAGTCTTTACCCTGTTTTAATTAAAATATAATGCCATTTGCTTCATGTATGTCTTTCGAAGAATGAAATCAACTGTGAATCCTTGTCTATCCTCGTTTAAAGTGTACCTTTCTCATAGAAGGAAATCAAGTTTTTGTTTCGAGGAGCAGGTTGCGTTAGGGTTTGTTTGCACTATTAAAATTTTCATTGCGTTAGTGTATTGAAAATGTAAAATGAATATGAAGTTTAGTTTATTAAGAGATTTACTTAATATACTTTTATATGCTACAATTACACGTTTCGTATATACATAGCTGCTGTGGTACAAAATAGTTATATTTGGAAGATTGGTAGAATCACATGTTACTTAGGGAGTATCTGATTTCCTGACACTAACTGTTGATTTTTAATATAAATTATATCTGATGTGATTTTTGTTATGGCCTGTATGATTTCTAAGTTCTCAATGGTCTATGGCACATTCCTATGATATTTGTGTTGACACCTGCTATTTGGTAGTGAACATAACGTTTTACTGCTAAAAGGCAATAAATCAGAATTGTCTACAGGTTATTTTAGTGCACTCCTGCTCTTTACAATCATCGTCTGGCTAGTTTATTTATTGTCATATCTGTTGACAGGAGATATCATCAGATTAAAATACACTAAAGCCATGTTAAACTGAGATATTTTCCATCATTCCAATAATGAAACACATGGTTCTTTGTTCAAAGGCTTATAAAATGCGAGAATTTTCTTACTATTTCATTGCGGTTCTTGATTTTACACGGAGAACACGTATCTTTTTTATCTTGACTTTGAAGATTTATAAATTACGACGATGTAATTAAACCTTTTGTAATATATTTACTGTGTTTTTGGTAAAAACCGGTGATTCTTTTGAGATGATGGATTTTTGAATAGATGGTAGAGTATTTGATCGGACATACTAATATGATAGCATCTGTGACTCATGCAATTCCACAAAAATAAGTGTTTGATAACATCGAGAAATATTACGCTATCAAACATTTAGATTTATTGGAATATTGAACCACAAACGCCTCAATGAAAAACGCCTTAAAATTATAATCACATTTTTGGATTTAGTGTTTATAGGTTTCGTATTCTATATTAAATTCTTATGATCTATCTATGGTGTTTACTGTTGTATTATAAATATTCTTAATTCCATAGTAGTATTTAAAAAACTTTAGACATACCTGAAAATGGCCAAGCATAGATCAATGCTATAAGTTTTTTCTAAGATACAGAAAATAGATTTAGAAAACTTCTTTAAAATGATTTAAATTCAATACAGGTAAACATGGACATCTAAATTTTTCTATGGTAATGATTCAATTTTCATTTCATATATTTAATGGGTTGTAAAGAGAATTCATACCTATTTATGTGTATTTGCTAAAATGGGGTGTATTGAGACGAGTCTCAATGAAAGTACTGGCCTATGTCTCAGATCAATAGATGAACTTATTAATCACGTGAAAATTACTTAGTCATAAGTATGATTTTAGTTGAAAAGACACACACATAACGTACAATCTGACATAAAATATACTATATATAGCAATGACACCAGTCCTGAAAGAAGTATTCTTGAATTCAAGTTAGAAATTGATTAATATAAAATGATACATTTACAAAAATAAATATTTCACTTTTAAGATAAATGGGCATTGTTCAATGGTCCAAGTTTATTTCAATATTTCATTTTCACATATATATAATATATATGTCGTCATCGTGGTATGCATTGCTACAAAAGTTCGATTTGAAATTATTGTAATCAATCTGAAAGAACGGAAAGGAAAGCACCTATTAATAATGCAGGCTACTTATACTTTTTGATTTCAGAATGGCTGCATTTACTTCAACAACTCCATTAAGGGGAAAGTCTTATGCATGCCAGTACGAAGAACCCAGCGTAACGAATATGGCTCTGTTCATATCGCAAATATGGACATAGTGCAATTATATTTCGACCCGAGATTTTCTGATGACTTTGTCTTAAATGATTTTGTCATGATAACCAATGTAACGCCATCAGGTGAAAACATACATCGAATGCACGATAGGTTATCAAGGGTAAGAATATTATATTTATGTTTTGACGTAATCTGCATTTATGATACACCTGGCGCTGGTGTAAATATCCTGTTTCGCATATTCTGTTGTTTAGGACAAGTATTTTAAGTATCTCTCATTTAATACGAAATAATTATGACTACTTAATAAGTATCTTACGTTATGTCAAAAGTGTACTATTTCTTAGGGTGACTAAAAAAATGGAAAAAAAAATGAGTCTTTATTCAGTTTTCATCAGTGGACTTACTAGAACAAATCTATACAAGAGAATCTCTCTATATTCTAAGTCCACAAACTATGCAAATTAGTCATGATCATTATTGTGTCATTTTAAATCTTTAAATCGTGAATTGATATGCTGTTATGTATGCAATGCTATCTCTTTTGTAGTTGTTCTCGTGTGCACCCTGTGAGGTAAATGAGGAAAGAATTAACCTCTTCCTGGATCCCCCCGTTATAAGTGTCAATCAAACGTAAGATTTCCGTGAAAGGGTATTTGTACAAAGTAAGTATTTCTCATTTTACCATAACATATGCTATAAATGTAAACAATTTTGAAACAATTATAGAATATGTACTCTATCCTTTAGCAATAGTTTTTCTTTCCTAGGAAGGTTATATACAGGTTGTACATCTTACATAAAAGAACAATTTCAGCTATGCCACATGATGATGTCAATATTATATTCGTAAGATTAAATTATCATAGATCAGCAATATACTATCTTGTATTTCAATCTTTATTTTCAGATAAATGAAACACAGGTTACTGACAGTGGTACACGAAAATTTTTGAAACTATCGCCTACCAAAAACCCTACAGACAGTGATGTCTCTATTGATGTAAAGCTTTCAAAATGCAATGGTTAAGATAACCAATGTTACAGTACAGGAATATAAAGGCCGGAGGGACCTAAATAGTACAAATTTCACCACATTTACATTTTAGAGGTATGTATTTGATAAACAAATCTTATAACTTTACACGTTGTCATTGAAAACCCGCATCAAGTGATTGAATCATTGCAAGTTGGGTATATCTCATGCTGTTTGTGTATGTGTGCATTTGATTATACATGTAATTATATGACCTCAGTTTGGTGTAAGGCTGCATAATGATTTGATTATCATTAAACTTTTAGGGAACGTAGGGACATATTTCTCTACAATTAAAGTTTATTATTCAAATCCGTACAGTAGTTATCTAATAGATTCAAAAATACACAACACAAAATTTTATATTTTCAAACACTATAATTGTTTAAATTTAAGCTTTCATATATATCAAAAAGCACATTTCTCTTCATTTTTGAGTAACGTTTTCACAACTTTGAGCAAACATATTTTCGACCTACAAAGAAAGCGGAATGACCCTATAAATGGTGAAGGTGATAATAGACTTTTGTGGGCGAATTTGCTATAGCAACATTTTGTTGGAATAATTTTCATAAAAATCTAGGGTTGTCTTTGAGCTAAAAATAACTTCTTTATATTTAACAGAACTGTGAAGAAGAAGAAGATTTTGAAATACTGATTCAAGCCGTCTCTTGGTCCAGGTAAAATAATAATTACATGTACATTCATATTGATAAACAACGAAACAGTCTATTTCGAGTTTTCATACACATTGTCTGTACTTCCACTTGAGTATGATGAAAGAAAATATTTACTATTTGCATCTGTTCTAATTTTTAATTATTGAACAAATACATACTCAGATTAATCATAACGATTCAAATATCTAACAAAATTAATATTTGTGCTTTAATTGAAATAAGTGATAACAAAATGTCACACTTTAGAGAAAAAAGATTTAAATCATTAAATAGCCTAAATTCTATTTATTGCTAAAATGCTTTTAAATTATTTTGCCCAAATAGTTATTTTAGATTATCTTTATGGGATAATCATGTTCTATATTCCATTAAGAAGTTCATTATAAAAATGATAATTAATTTCAGACAACAGACATGGCTAATAACTGGAGATAGTGAGGAGTTGGAGATTGACACCGATACTTTAATGAATTTGTTTAGTGTGCCATATAAAAGTAGAAATGTTATCAATAAAACTTTAAAAGGCACCAAGCGAGCGAATCAAATTATTGCCGTAAGGTAAGATCAACAAAATATTTAGATACGAATTTTTCTATGTTTATATATTTTCAACAAGCATTGAATTTATTAAATATTAATTTATTAAATATTTGTATCATTTTAATGCATTAGTTTGATTTAGATAACATAAGTCAAGCTTAAACTTACTTTTTATAACGACACTGGGCCATTACATATAGCATTATTTATTTTTTTAGATTGTGAACAAAAAATGAGAGATAGAAGATTGTGAACAAAAAATGAGAGATAGAATAGTGTGAAGAAAAATTATATTGAAAAAAATGTTATATCAGAAAAAAGATTTTATTTTATTTATCGCATAGACATAAACACGTAATTGTTTTTAAAGGAATCTCCAGATAAATATGGAATTCAATTTAAGATATTCTCAAATACTGTCAAAAGTTTACGACAGAACCCATGTAGAATTCTATATATCTCCAATATATAAACAATTATATTTGAAATATAGTTATAGAATAGTTATTATAAATAAAGGTTACAAAATATCCAAGCCCTTTAAAAACAATATGAATATTAACTATTATTGCTATGAAAAGGGTGAATCAGATTTTAAATTCTATCTTGATATTTCTATATCGCTCTACAAGCAATATATATACCACGGTTCTTACGCGTTAACATATTTAAACAAACGAATCCGTTAGGAGGACTTTGTTTAGATATGAGAATGAGTAAGACACGTGGTATGTAACATAAATAAAATGATTGACAGCTAGAACTTCTTACGACATTGATTTTTGTTAAAAAGAAGGGGGTGGAACTACAGCCGTAAAATAACACCACATTATGATCGTTAGACCACATCTTGGCCCCACCCACTTTCCTCTCAGATTCAATTGGGCTGTAATGACATGTTATCCAAACATGCTAGAATAACAAATTGCTGATAATATATTACCATTTTCACAGTGAAAATATCTTATTATTGATTAATTAGATTATATAGAACATTCTGTTGAATATTGGAACCGAGTGAAGCCACTAATGAACATTTTAACTGATAGGTCAAATTCAGCAATTTAGATTTTATGTTCCTTCTAAAATAATTATCCTTTGCATTGATTTACTATAATCAATATGTAAAAAAGCAAAGAATAAATTTCACAACTAATGTTATTTATATTTCTATACGTTTACATTATCAAGTGAACATCTAATGCAATTCTGTTTGACGTCTATACCGGAGTTGTCAACATATAATGCATTTTTAATGCGATTGTAATAAATAATTTTGTTTTTTGATTAGATATATTTTAATGAATAATTTCTAAGATTATTTTTGACGGTGTTGAAATAAGTCATTTAAAACCTTACAAACTAATTGTCAGTGGAAGATATTCTGTCTTTAACACTTGTAAGATAATATATGATATCCGTTCAATAACGTCGACACGTTTATAAACAAAAGTATACATTACCGTTTTAAGTGACACCGATAATGTATGCTCCATGTAATAATAATCAGTTCGAATTTTAAGTATTGTTCTTATGGCATATATTGGGCTTATATTTATTAGGCAATGAAGAATGTTTATGAATCATTACACCGAGATACTTCAAGAAATTACTAAATGAATGATCTTAAACTTACCCAACATACTGGTCGTTAAACAGACATATATTCAACACATGATAGCTTATCATAGACGCACGGGTACGTAGATTAAATTTTGTGTAGGTTTTCGATGCGCTAATTTAGGATGAAGTACCTTAACATATAAAGTTAGAAAATGAGTCGAACAATTTTGATCCTTGCACGAATTCTATTTGCGTAATAGCACACATTTCGATGTAATACGTTTGGATTTTTCAACCCGATTTTCTCTTGACAATGATACAGATCAAAAAATTTGACATGGAAAAAGCGTCTAGTCGTTCTGATGGGACAATAAACCCATTTTAAAGATTTCTTGACCTATGGATATCGTAAAAGAGTAGTCTAATGCCGCTGTCTCAATGTAAATTGCATGGCATTGCCCTTTATAAGATGTAGAAAAGTGGCACGCACAAAATGGTAGCAATAGAAACATCTTTCAGCCCATAGCTTATTCGATTCAAAAAAATCATGGTGCGACAGGAAATCAGAGGTATTAGTATATATTATCAAAAATTATTGAAACTTATTGTCTTATAATATTTTGTGCAATAAATTTAAATAGGAAATGAATACGCCATTTTCTAATACAGTTGTAAATGGTATGGCATCATTAATACACCTGCTTACATAATCTAAAAAATCATTGACTCTAAACAGTCAACTCTTGATTTACATCCATTCATTTGACACCGTTAAAGTCAAGTGATGTTTATAAATCAATATCTATGTAATATATATATAATTAATATTAATGGATTAAGATAATACAGATTGACTAAAAAATTATCACATGTCAAGCCTTTCAACAACTGGCGCTCTCTCCAATATACACGAATTCTCGTGTATATATCCTTCATTTCGACTTATAACGTTAGATCGTAACCTACTCATACCCATTACGTGATACATACATATGTTAGATTACTTTGTTTTTTTTTTTAATATTGTTGATCATTATTGATCATAGTATGTCAGCAATATTTGATTTCTGATGATAATTTAATTTGTTATATAACAAAGATGTATATCAGTAATATTTGGAATACAGCAAAACTACAAATTTAACAGGTAGGATTTTTTCTCTAGCTTGATCCGCAAACTTCTTTTTATTAATTATATACATGTATATAGTTATCACCAGCATACGGAGAAGTATAGACTTGCATCTAGAAGTAATATTCATGACTTACTTCACACATAACAGCAACCGCATAGAAACGTTTTGGCACTTGATATGTTTAACGCTATAAAACAGTAAATGTTTGTGGCAAACAGGCTCAGTAATACGCATGATTAAAAAAAAATAGGAGTATAATCAGCGTAAGATAGTCTTCGTCACAAATATTGTGCAAGTACAAAATTTAATACGGATTTATTTTACTGCAACGTTGAAACTCGACCACCAACGATTTGCAGCATTAACATCTTTGACACTTATTTATTTCTTTTTATTCATTTTAGACTGGAAAAGACAATTGGAATTAAATACAATTCATGTCAATATTTGTACACTTATAAACTACTAGATATTAAGTGTAAATTATCACAGAATAAAAGTGAATCGTGATTATAAATGTGGTAATAGCACTCGCAGTCAAAAACGAATGACATAATATAATAAACAGTTCAAAAACTAACTTTGGACACTTACTCTATAGATAATCTGTATGCTACAGACAGACCAATATTACAAATACGCATACCGGGTATTTGTCAATACATCAAATACTAACATTACTTTATGACAAATGAAATATAACACTCACAATAATAATGATGTACTTAAAATCCTCTTGATCTTCTATTTTTGTGTTGAATATGATAGCTGAAAGAAGTTTTATTTTCAGAGAGAAAGAATAAACCAATTAACAGTTTTGAACACTGTATCGATACACAATCTACTTGATTCCAACAAATCCATTAGTTGGCACACTATTGATCGGCAGTTTTTCAAATAACCGCAATAAAACAATATTAGCATTTAAAGCCATTCTTTAGTCTCTGTGGCCTTTTGGTCTAGAAAATAGCAACAAAAAACAACGTCAGCTTGTAAAGTTAATGGCTACAAAACTTTACGTTGAATCAATCTAGCCAAATTCAGTACGTGGCACTACTGTCTTATGTAAGTAACTATAAACCAAACGAACTTGAATGAAAATACAACACACAAACCAACTAATTACTACTAAAAACTTACTTAGAATTAACAACTAGATAAAGTGGAAATATAACACTTAATGCCCTGATAGAATTAATTGATTCGCCTGCATGATATAATATTAAAGAAAGGACAGAGTTTATTCTATTAATAAGATTTGCAATAATGGCACGTAAAAAAAAGAAAGTCTTAACCAGTATAGCTAACCTTACAAAATGTAAACTTGAAAAAATTCAAAAAGCACAAACTAAAAATATCAGCAAAAGTGATCACCATGTACCGACCAGCTACAAGTTGCAAACACCATCTAAAAAAATTACTACAAATGAACACGTATATAATCAAATCAAAAAGGAATTAAACGAATTTAAAGATAACAGAGTGTGTATCTCTGGTAATTATAACCAAGGTAATATAGAAAAATATTTCAATTATGCAGGCAGACAATGTGTTTCTAATTCTTTGATAGCCATTGTTTACACCAAAATAACTAAAATTAGATCCTGGACAAGCGCTACGTTAGATAGAATACTAGATATGGGAAATGAGTATTATAGATATATCCAAACTTTGCCACATATCCAACACGAATATTTACTTGTAAACGAACTACTCAATACTGTAGAGATTGATGGAAATTGTTTTAAACTAGAAATCGACGGAAATTCACGTGCTGGATTCGGAAGCTGATTTCGGTCTTCCTTTACAAAAAGCTCTCCATGAATGTTTAGCCATCTTTGAAGTTTGTTTTATTACATTCAAAAATAATACATTTGCTGTTATGACACAAAATGATAGATATTTTGTATTTGATCCTCACGGACGAGACACATTGATTGAATATTGTAATATAACAGATGTTTATATGCATTGTTACTATCTCAGTCAATCTATGATGTGTGGCGAACAAGAGCAATAACACGTATTAATGTTCAAAACTTAATAAATATGGATAGTAATCCAAGTATAATTGAACCAGAAATGCCTGGAATAAACACTGACGATATTTATATAAGAAATGAAGACAGAGATATTACAATAACCCATCAAAATAAAACTCCTTTCATATTTGAACCACTTACTTACAACAGAAAAATGCAATTATCAAAACTATTTCAATTACCTATTACTGATATAAATCAAAATTCAAATATAGAAAAATGTACATTAACGACGCCAACGCAATTCATTCCTATTAAGGGTGATGGAAATTGTTTCTTCAGAAGTATATCATATATCAGGCACTGAAGAATTTCATTATAAAATAAGAATATGCATTATAGAACATATGAGACCAAACAGTAAACATTACGTAGCCTTACTACCACAACGATATGCTTCTGTTGCTGACTACATAATAAAATCTAAAATAATAACATTCGGCACATGGAGCACTGAAATGAAACTATTTGTAACGGCTGATTTTCTACAAACGGAAATTTATACCTTTTCCGATGGGAAATGGTTGAAAATACCAGTTTTGCACATTATTTCAAAACATACTACAGAGTCCATCTATCTTAACCACAAAAACGGAAATCATTATGAAATTGTACAAAATGTTACAAGATGTAACAAAATAAGCGCAAATAATGATATCAATCTATAAAATATTGACCAATATAAACAATGCCATGATACATTACTTAAAAAAACATCGAGGAAAAGAAAAACTAAACATAATTGGTCATCTAAGAAAAGAGAAGCTAAATATAAACACGAAAATACACACACAAAGCCAGACAATAAAACATATTATAAAGGTAAAAGAAAAAAGCAAATCCATTATATAAAGAAAAAACAGAGAAAATTATATAGATTAAATAAGAAAGATGAGAAATCCCGATATAAATATCGAACTGAACTGAAATATATATTGTTTCTGAAATTTCAACTTAAAAAGAAATACCAAAATGGATTAGCCAAGAAGCTAAAACAGAAATATGAAAAAGAATTGAAATTGAAACTTAAACAGAGATATAAACATGAATCAAAATTAAAATTGAAAAACAAATACAAAGAGATATATAAGGCAAAATTAAAACTCAAATACGAAAACAAACGATAAAAGTAGAAAAGACAAACGTTAACAAAGCCTTACAAAAATTTAAAAATGATAGTGCCGAAGGTCCTATATATATATGTTGCGTTTGCAACCGATTATTATTTAAGAATCTAGTTAAAGAATGTCAAGAGGAATTATATGAACAAAAAACTAAAAGAATTGAAATGGTTGCTAAAAAGTGTATAACAAAGACGTACCTTCATGAGTGCAATGACCTTTGCCTAAAAACATGCTCTTATTCTGAAAATTATAAATCTCTATGGATATGTTTCACATGTCATAAAAAACTTTTACAAGGTAAAGTGCCAACCGAATCTTATGTTAACAAAATGGATCCTGGACGACGAATTGAATTGCTTAAATCAATTAGAGAAGCATTTAATAGCCAAAAATATAGTATTTTTGAAAATGGTTCAAGTTTCCCCACAGAATGATCAAAAAATTATTGGAGAAACTGTCTGTGTTCCCTCGAATCTTACTGAAATGACAAACATTTTACCAAGATGCAGAAATGACGATGAAATAATTAGAGTGAAATTAAAAAAAAGATAAATAATAATAAAGGACATTATGAATTCCAGACAATCATAAAAAATCATATTAAAAATGCTTTGTCTTATCTAAAACACAATAATAGTCATTATTTCGATGTTATTTTGAATAAAGAATGGATAGAAGAACAGGATCATAATTTATCCGTGCTAGATAACTTGATAAATGATATCACTGACAACACATCACACTCAGATTCAGACTCAGATTTAGACTTGGTGGATGAAAATATTGGAAGATATACATGTGATACAAATAGAAACTCATGTTTACAACCTGTTGATGCATCCGCAAATATTATAAATAATGCTGATAAAATATTTTCTAGGTTTTAAAGTTACAGGATAAAAATGATTGTTGCTCACGCTCTAAAAACTTATTTCGGTTCAGGAGATACACAAAAATCATTCGGTTCTCTTCCTGGATTTCCATGGGCGAAATATCCCGGAGAAAAACAAAAATTACACCGGTCCAGGTACTAGGTTAGACGAAAACGATAAACCCAAACCAGGGGAAGAACCAGTCAATAGAGTTCACGCCGCTGCGCTTAAACACGATATTTTATACAGAAATAAAGACATAAACATAAACACAAAGCAGACAGACAAATGATAATCGAAAAATTCCAAATCCAACTTTCAAAGAGAGAATGCAACGAGCATTAATCATAAAGCTCTTGAAAGCAAAGATGAAATTGGGCATGGGATAAGCGGATGAAATTCACAAAGAATTTGAAAAAACTAAAAACTTTTTAAAAGTTAAAGTGTTTGAAAAAGATGAAATATGGTCAGCCGATTTAATTCATATGCCAGTTGAAAGAGGATTTAAATATTGCTTATCAGTTATAGATTTGTATACAAGATATGTATGGGTTATTCCTTTGAAATGAAACGATTATGAAACAATCTAAGCAACATCCAGAAAAACTGTGGGTAGATAAAGGAAGTGAATTTTATAACAAAAATATGAAATCTCTGGGATTTGAAATTTACAGCACGCATAACGAAGGTAAAGTTGTAGTAATAGAAATATTTAACAGGAAAAATAAATTATTCAAAAAGTTCACGGAATTGAAATCTCAAAAATGGCTTAAAATATTACCAGAGGTTGTAGATGAATACAATAACAAAATTCATTCATCTATAGGTGTCACACCAACACAAGCCTCGAGTAATCCAAATATTATAAAATCAATTAACGCGCAACATAACTATGAAAATGAAATAAAGAATTTAGATATTAAACCCAAATTTAAAGTCGGAGATCGAGTTCGTATTTTCAAATATAAAAGTAAATCCGAGAAAGGTTACGTTGGATACTGGACAAACGAAATATTCATCGTTGATAAAGTAAACAGCACATCACCTCCGACATATGAATTAATCGATCAAGACAAAGAACAAATCATAGGTAGGTTTTATCAAAACGAACTTCAAAAAACCGACTTTTAAAAATGAATGAATTTCTCGATAAATATGGAACCGATACAACCACAAACTTTCAACTTATGAGATGGGCGAATGAGTTAGATATATCACCGTTTTATTATTGTATGAGAGATGAAATAAATGATCTGAAATATAAGAAAGGTAAATTCATTAATATCTAAATTAGAGGATAAGATTGCAAAACAAAAATTAGACATTCCACAATTAATAGATAACATTCCAGATGAAAATGAAGATACGTTTCAACAGGAATTAAATACTCTGAAACTAAACTTAACAGTGAATTACAAAAAGAACTAAGAAATATTAAACAACAAATACAAAACATAGATGATAGCGAAATCAAAACCTATATTCAACAACAAATACAAAATATAGATGATAGCGAAATCAAAACCTATATTCAACAACAAATACAAAATATTGATGATAGCGTTATTCAACAACAGATAACCACTATTAATAACCTAGTTTTGAAACATGACAAAAATATAGTCGCATTAGAAAAAAAGTATCTCAAGAAAGAATCATATTATTTTAAACTTACATTTGGAGTAATGGGAATTCATGATGATCCTTCTATTACTGATAATACTGATGAATCAAAAGACTATGAATATAAAAAATATGGATTTACAGCAAATATTAGAGTATATTCTTTTCCAAATTATACTATTTACCCCAATAATATTTTTGATTCAGATGATGAGAATGATTATCATCCAATATTTTTTATTTTCCGAGGAAAACTTATAATTGAAATTAATTTTCCTTTTCAGGTAAAAGTTGATTCAATATTCTTCAGACAAAACTCTCGTTTTTCTAATAAATTTAACGCTCGTAAAGTTCTTCAGTTTATCAATGGTACAAAAAATGTAGAAACTAAAGAATTTGAAATTAACGACGAAAACAGCAAGCCTCGTCACTTATATGAAATTAAAACGAGTGGAAAATATATAGATAGGTTTAGAATGTTAATCATACCCGATAATGAAGAAGTTAAACTTTCATTGAGTGATTTTGATATGTTATTGGAGACGGAAAGTCCACCAGCAAGTATTATTAGAAATCCAAAACCTCAAAAAGAAATAATCAATTATCAGTTTTTACGAGCAACAGACTTTGAATACGTAAAACTATATTTTGTTGATAATGATATATTTACCTCAATCGATATTCATAAAAGTCAACAACAACAAAATTTTTTGATACCAACAAAAAGAGACGATGTATCTGTTACTATGTTTTTAACTATTAGTAAACCAAAATTTTCAGTTCATCTGAATAAGATTAATGATTTGAAAGAACAAATATTCTTAGTAAGTATGCAATTTTTTAGTAAAGTAGCTTTATCAGAAATAATATGATTTTTTCAGAATTAATCAAGAGAATAGCTATTCTATTTAATGATTTTAAAATTAAAGGTCAAATTGAAATAAATGGTCAAATATATGAAAAGGGGAAATATAAACAAGACATGAGATTTTCTGGATTCAATGCTCAAACTTTCAAGATTAATCATTCAAAGATGCATGATAAATCTGATATCTCCGATTGGTATTTTACAGGAGAGATTATTTTCCGCAAAAATAATTTTAGAATAGTAAAAAGATCTAAAACTGGCAGAGGTGGTAATCTACTTAAAAAGATAAATGAATACAAAGGCGAAAATTGTTACATACCAAGCGATGGTTATTGTTTTATAAAATGTGTAAATCACTTCATGAATAAAGACTTAACAAAGGAATTTCAAGATTTCGTCAACAGTTTTCAAAAATTAAACTATTAGTAAACCAAAATTTTCAGTTCATCTGAATAAGATTAATGATTTGAAAGAACAAATATTCTTAGTAAGTATGCAATTTTTTAGTAAAGTAGCTTTATCAGAAATTCATTTAATTTAATTACCTAAAAAATGGAACTCGAAAGTAGACAACAATATATGATAGAAAAACAAAACGAACTAAAACAAAAACTAAAACAATTCAACAAATGTAGAAAAACATGGAGTAGAATCGATACTGTTTTCAAAACATTAAGTACAGTTTTAACAGTAGGGATAACGATGGCAACAGCCGTAACCGGTGGATTAATGCTTCCAATAATTGTCCAAACTGTATAAGCCGCGTTCACTGACGTTCAAACTTCATCTTGTGGTTTGATTACTTTAGGTTTTACATCAAAACAGAAAGCTTATTATAAAAAGAAAACAAAAATTTTAAATACATAACTTAATAAATTATTCATTTTTTTCGAAAGATCGAGAGAAGACAAGAACATAACAGTTGAAGAATTAGAAAAATTCAATGAAATTTTAGATAAATTTGTTGTAGAAATATCATCAATAAAAGTTTAAAATAGATACTTAAAAAAAGAATGGATAAAATTGGAAATTTAAACAAACCCCTATCTAAAACACTTTTTTCAAAGATATTCAAGTCAATACCTAATTTATTTTCGCGTAAATTTGACGAAGAAGATGAAGAAAAATTTAAATATCTAGGACAACCGATATATCAAAATATCAACCACAAATATGATTTTTTCAGAATTAATCAAGAGAATAGCTATTCTATTTAATGATTTTAAATTTAAGGTCAAATTGAAATAAATGGTCAAATATATGAAAAGGGGAAATATAAACAAGACATGAGATTTTCTGAATTCAATGCTCAAACTTTCAAGATTAATCATTCAAAGATGCATGATAAATCTGATACCTCCGATTGGTATTTTACAGGAAAGATTATTTTCCGCAAAAATAATTTTAGAATAGTAAAAAGATCTAAAATTGGCAGAGGTGGTAATCTACTTAAAAAGATAAATGAATACAAAGGCGAAAATTGTTACATACCAAGCGATGGTTATTGTTTTATAAAATGTATAAATCATGAATGATGATGATGATGATGCACTAACATGTTTTGCTCAGTTAAAACTAAACGTGATTTCACAACCTCATGATGATACTTTATTCGGTTGGGATTGCGAAACCTATAGTGAAAATAAAGCTATTCCTTATTGTTGTACTTTATTCAATTTGGAAAAACTAAGGAAAAAACTAGAACTAATTGAAAGAGTATTCCCAGATTTAAAGCCAACTGATCCCATTCCAGAAGAATATTACAACAAACTCATGACTAATATAGTAGAAATATTTGTAGGAACAGATTGTTTCGATCAGATGTTGCGTCGTTTAGGAACAGTAGATCAAAAAAGACTAACCTTAATTGCTCGTAACGCCAGTGGTTTTGACAACTGGATTGCACTTCAAAGCATTAATAAACTAACACAATGTCCACTAGTAACAGATGAAAAAAATTCTATCTCTTCCTTTATCTAATCCATATACAGAAGAAATTTGAACAGAAATTCAGACCTAGAAATGCTATTTTAAAAGTCTGCTTTGAATATCCCAAAAACATGTTCTTCCAACCGATACCAGCTAAAGATAAAAAGGTAAAAAGGAAACTGGCACTAAAATCAGATTCAGAAATGGTTTCTGTTCAGATGTTTTAACATCGGTCGATATTCAAGAAATATTTAAAGCCGGTGGACGAATTATTAAAATATTAGATGGTATAGTTTACGAAGAAAATTTTAAAACTCCATCCTATAGAGATTATATTTTAATTTTGAAGGAATTAAGGAATAAATACAAAAAGGAAGGAGATGTGGTTGCCAGTAACTGCATGAAGTTGTTAGGTAATTCCTTATATGGTAAATCTATTCAGAGGGATAGAAATACCTTATTGCATTTATGGAATGAAGAAACCTTCCGCCTTAATTACGACAAACACGTCAAGAAGTATGACAAACTAAATGAGACTCAATACATTGTGGAGATTAATGACGAAGAAAAAGAGTTTATTCCTCCTAAGGATTCTACAAGATTAACACCCACTCATTTAGGTACATTTATATTATCTCACAGTAAAAAAATAATGAATAATTTTATTCACGTGATAGATGGATGTTATAAACCGGAAATATATTATACGAATACCGATAAATAAATGAAGCTGGGTTGGTGTCCGAAAATGATTATTGTAAAGGAAAGAATGATTATGGTGATGGTGGAATTATATTTGGTTTATATTTAGCTCCAAAAGTTAAATACAATATCATTCTAACTTCCGATGGTGTTTTAAAAGAAAAGAAAACGTTTAAGGGATACTCTAACTATAAGATTAAGGTAGAGGATTATATTCAATTAGCTAGTGGACATGACGTAACGCATGAATTTGATAAACCTGGGGTAAAAAGTTTTACTGATGGAATATTTATTCCTAATGAAAAACAAACTAAAAAATTTAGAAGTTATCTGAATCTCATAAAGAGAAAAGCACCGGACGATGAAGGAATCATGTATCCTTACAGTGATACAGAGGAGATGTGCTTGGATGAAAACTACGAATTTGATGATTTTGATTATTTTACAAATGTATCTAATGATGATCCATCAGAATAAATTTAGTTCTTTTGTTTTAAATGAAGTTGAATAACAATTTCCTCGTTACCAAAATCTATAAACCTATTTTTACCATCTTTGATTTCCAGATTTATATCTTTAATCATAAAGGAATTAAGAATTTCGTCGTTTGAAATGGTTTCTCTATAATTCTAAATCCTATCGATACAGTGAATTTTGGAAGACTGTAAATAATCTGACGTTTGTATTTATTGCAAAAAAATCCACCGTTTATCAAATTGCAATGTATATTTATCACATCGATATCATTCTCCATATTAGCTTTGTGTGGTGCTAAAGTGGATTGGGTGTATACTCGTTTATCAAATCCTAGTAACGTATTCAATGAATTTCTACGTTGAAATCAACTTGACTATTATTTCTTAATATCAATTTTATTTTGTTCAGATTCAAATTACCTTCGAATTCAATATTGTTTTTACCATTTACACTTCCTCCATATTCAGATAGGTATTCGTTAATGGCTATGTATTCGTAGCTTCCTGGTAGTAAACGTATGGTTTTGAACGTAACTCCGTTATCTGTTGATATTTTTATTTATTTTTTTCGTTGATATTTCTAATGGAATTGTAAACAGAAAAATACTTTAATCCAAATTCATATTCTTGATTGCGATCGAGTTCGTACTCATAATCTAGAGATAATTTAATGTCTGATTTATTTGAGGTGATGACGAATAGTTGTTCTTTATTTGACATTTTTAATCACGCTTTTATAATCATTTTTATCTATGATACCTTTTTCT